ACAGTGCCAGCAAAGTCTTCAAACTTCTCTGAAGCTGCCCTTTTCTGGCCTTGAATCCTGACGACTGTACGTACCAACCTTGATACCTCTGTGCTGGACTTAATGTAGGATTCAAATTCTGCATCCTGCATGGTAGAGGGGTGTGCTTGATTTACTTGTATCTTTAGTTGTGGACTGTCCAAGGTATCTACAAACTGATCCCTCAGCAACAACTTGAGGAGATTGGGTGGTGCAGTTGGGTAAGCCTTGTGTGCCATACTTTCCAAGTCCTGTGCCAGCTTTTGCAGGCTTTCCCCTTTAGCACGGACTCTCGTCCTAAACCTAGTCCTGTAGACTTCAGATTGATTTTGGGTTCCATACCTGAGTTCTAGAGCCGCTACCAGTGCTCTATAGTTGTGTCTGTTGTCTGCTGACAACTGTCCAAGTATTTACAGTGGTTGTCCCTTCAAGCTTGTTGCCACAAAAACTGCTTTCTGCTCCTCTGTCCATCCATTCATCTTTGCCAGGAGCTCAAATTGTGCTTTTTTCTGTTTCCCAAGGTGCCTTCCCATCGAATTCCTGTGGCTTCCTTCTTACTAAATCACCCCTATTGCTGACATTCATATCTGGGATGTAACTTCAAACAGGACTGAAGATGTCTGAATTAGGATTTAGCTGCGGGGTATGGGAGGGGCTTCCCATTGCCCGAGGCTGATTAGGTCGATGGCTAATATATCCTCCTTGTGTAAAAGACAATAAATCATTCTTTAATGTATTTAATTCACTTTGATATTGACTAATGTTTTCCATTTATGTACTCTGGCTTTCTCTCAATTGTTGGAGACTTTCTTCTTGTTTATTTTCTTTCTCTTCCAGCTACTGCTGTAGTCTCTTTTTTTGTTCATTTTCTTTCTCCTCCAATAGCTGTTGTAATCTCTCTTTTTGTTTTTTCTTTTTCCTCCAACAACTGCTGTAATCTCTCTTGTTTATTTTGCTGTTCGAGCTACCACTGTTGCAGGTTTTCTTGCCACTGCTGTAATCTCTCTTCTTGTTTCTTTTCTTTTCCTCCAACAACTGCTGTAATCTCTTTTGTTTATTTTGCTGTTCCAGCTGCCACTGTTGCAGGTTTTCTTGTAACTGCTGTTGTCTCTCTTCTTGTTTCTTTTCTTTTCCTCCAACTACTGCTGTATTCACTCTTCTTGTTTCTTTTGCTGTTCTTGCATTGCTGCCATCAAATCTGCTAAGTTGTAGTTTGATTTGCCGCTTTTCGTTTCCATCTTCTTTTTTTTGTCCCTCTCTCTGACACCAATTTGTCACGTCTCTGTTCGTTTGTTAATTTTCCGTAAAAATTCTTTCCGAAGAAACTTTAGCGATACAAGTCCTTTCTTAAATAAAACTATTTTATTCTTTCTCAATACAACTTTGCAGTACATTTAATTTCCACAGTCACGCTATAACTTAAACAAACGCTATAATTCACGCGCTCAACTCAAGTGTCCGTCTCTATCTTTGTCTGCAGTTCAATTACATTGTTGCCGTCTTGGCGGTCTTATATACAAGACTACCGCACATCTAGTAAACACTCGAGGCTTCAGGAAGGGACATGAATTTTCTAGAAGTTCATGACGTGTTACTAGTGTCACGTGACTTCCGCTGTCGTAACAATACGTTTTAAATATATAATTTTGAAGTCATATCAAATGAATATTCGGTTATTGAACGAAATACCGATTTGTACATTCCTGCAAAATAACTAGTTATTCTGAAAAGAGCTAAACAAGATGTTGATGAGATGAGAAGGTACTAGTGAATTAAAGAGGATATCAGTATAAGATGCCACGAAGTTCCTATCTCAGTGATACAAAAATTCTACAGTTGAATTCCAGTAGAGATTAAATGTTACCTGTTTCCTAAAATGACAAAGTATACTTTTACCGAAAACCAATTAAACATGAGGTCCCCTTATTAACAATTTGTGGTATCCATAAAATATACTTGCTGTGAGTTTGAATTAAAGCATTAAAGTGAACTTTACATTTGGCGTTATCTTAAAACTTAAACACCGTTATACATTGTAGATACCATGTATATATTGAAACAGCAATTTTGAAAATTATAATTAAGTATGGTTATAATTAAGTAATAACATTTGATAATAGTATGAAAGAACTTTCGTTAATTCTAGAAGACTTTCAATTTCGAATACTGAAGCAAGCATACGAGTTTTTGTTGTTGTTTTACAATGCCTGTGTTTTAGTTCATTACAAAATAATACTGGTTTTGATAGCAAAATGTCATAGATGATACTATGATGATAACTTGGTTGTTTTTATTTAAGCACAGAACTACACAATGGGCTAGCTGTGATGTACCAATAGCAGGGATCGAATAAAAAATTCCAGCATTATAACCACGAAAGCTTACCGCGGACAAATTGAGGAACTGCTGTAATAAATGAAATCGTTTTAAATAGCATTATATATATATATATATTTCTCATTGCAAGATACCTGCACATTATATGCTTCATAAAACTTTCTTCTTACTAGTCACAGCATATTACAACAGTTTCGTGCAAGTAAAAATACACAAGTTCAAACAGGTACACGGTACACACGCATCCAGGTATTCAAAACAAAAACGGAACTCTCTTACGTCACAGATCCGAAATGCTATGATTGGTTACTCCAGCAACGATGTCATTATTCTCCCAGTGATACCGGGAAAGTGTCAGCTGGGCCACGCGTACCAAGTCTATATGGATGCCGAATTTTAAGCCTCTTTATAAACTAGCTTCCTTGAAAATGCAGCAGTAGAATATTTTGTCTAACTTTTGGAATAGAAGAGTGAAAACACAACTGATTGTTGCAACCCATAAAACTTGCACAATGTCTGCAGTGCAATTATACAAAGCAATCAAACATTGACATTATTAGAGGTACGTTTGAGGTAAGGGTGAATAAACACCATTGGAGCAGTCAAAGGAGAAAAAAAATAAGTTCCTTCAACCAATAGGCATTTGGAAATTTTTCTTTAGATGTGCACGTGACTGAATTCTTGCCAATCCTGTTTCTGGTTGTGGGGAAGTAAGTTACTCATTCACCATTTTTAGCTCAAGGCCTTCAGTTGGCATGCTCCGTTGCTAAGGTATGGTACTTTAGACTCGAGAATGAATTGGATGTACGAGTGTGACTGACGTCTTGTTTCTAAATAGCAAGCTTTACAGAAGATTCACTGAACAGCTCCCACAAGACTTGACACAGAAGAATATATTTAAGTTTCAAGACTGGTAAAGAACTTCGAAAAATTGTTATTATGTAGTTCGTTGTGACGTTTCGGTAAGGTTGTATAACTATAAGCTTTCTAAACGTTAATTGTTTTACATTATATAGCTTATGTAACAAAATGAGGTTACTGTCAGTGACAGTGTTACTCAGTGTTAGTATTATCTACATCACTTAAGTTAATATATATAATTTGACATAGCCATGCGTGTACTAGTTTTTATACGATAGTTATGTATTGTGATACCCTAAACTACCATATCAATTATTTGGAAAGACATGACTGAGGAACATTGTTACAGACTGTGATACAAACTTTTTGTTTAGCTTCGGTTGTTGTCAGGGTAGGTGTTTGAATCTTTGGCTTTAGCTTAGTGGTTTTAAGGAATGACAAGTTAACTGTGGGAGCGGCCTTTACAGTTTACGTAAGAAATAATACTTTATTAATGAATATTTTGACAAATGCATACTAAGTAACGCGATTATTAGCGTTAGTTATCTGCTTTCAGTAATTATTGCTACTACTTGTACTAAATAAGTTATTTGGTAAATTTAATTTTTATAACAAAGAAACTGTTTTGCAATAAACGATTTTTTTTTCATAAATATGTAGTGATGAAATTCATGACCCCCCCCCCCCGCCAGTGGCACAGCAGTATGTCTGCGGACTTACAACGCTAGAATCCGGGTTGCGATACCCGTGGTGGGCAGAGCATTGTGTAGCTTTGTGC